ATCATAAAAATTAGGAAATAAATCTAAATTACCTTTTTCGTTCTAGAATAACTACAACAATAACTAATTTTTGATTTATTAATCTTCGAATTGTGTCCGACTAAAAATACCCCAACAGAAGTTGAAAATTATACGACGCACATGCATTGACATATACCCCATGAAGGTTATTATTATTTTTCTTTTATTACCTTACCTAACAACTTCCTCTTTTTTTTTATCTTAGTTACTTTTATAATAATAAATAGTTAAAAGAAATGAAAATAAAAACCTCATAATTAAATATCAAACATTTTTATTTTCAGTAAAGCTTTACAATTTATTTGTTATTTTTTGTACTGTAAGATTATACTTATTTCTCCACATTGTAGGTAAGTAATCAAAGTATAACAAAAATAAAGGTTGCAAAACAAAATTTATAGTACTGTTAGTAGTGATTACAAAATTTCAAATTACTTATGGACAGAGTTTACGCTCTCACCTTTTCACACTTATTTTCTGTAGTTATTTTATTGCTAGTAGATGCGTTAGAAATTAGAAGAAACAAAATGGATAGTACTCTGTTCTTTTCAGTAAGGACAGTAAAGTTCCAAGTATATCTCCTGAGAGTTTCTTCTAATCTTTTTACACCTACTTCCTTTTGTTATTCTACTGTTAGTGACTGAAGAAGAAACCTACCAAATATAAAGCAATGAATCGCCATTCCTGTTTAGGTGTTACCGTACTTTGACACCGTCAATATCAAATAAGTTCATGTGGCGCAATTCCCAGAATTTTCCCTGTTTTGAAAACACAGTGGGATAGGATATATCAACTTGTTGACAGTATAATGGTTTCATCAAAAATTTTCTAAAGTATTATGAAATGTTTATGACTTTGTAGAAAGTCTGGGCCAATCCAATAAGTCAAAAAGCAGAAGTACACTACAGAAATTATTTGGATTGCTGCTCTGAGAACACTGTGGGATAAAATTTGTCGGCTTCTTTACAGTACAGTGGTTGCAACAAGAATTGTCAAAAGTACTTTATACAATTGAGAAAAAATATTTATGATATGGCTCTGTACAAAGTATAAAGTTGTATCCTATCCAATAACCTTGCTAGTTATCTTACTTGATGGTTGGGATTTAGCGTTGATATAGGTGTAAATGTTTATGGACATCCTGTTTCCTATATTACCATGCTCACATAGTAACCAATAAATATGTAGTATCCAGTAATATAAATATGGGTAATTTTGGTTAGGTTAGTATTCTTGGCTAAGCCTTCTTGATTGTAACTTGAGAAACAAATTATTCACCAGCAAACTGCAACTTCAAATGGGTGTATATGTAAAGATGTTCCTTTTCATGTGTTAAGATCAGTTGATCAGTGATAAATTTATTTTTTTTAGACTTTCACAAATTATATAAATAAACTTTTCCTGAATTGCCAAGTCTTTAGGTTTGTATAATTTGTTTTTATTCTACCTCAATGTAAATTAGTAGAAAAATAACAGAAGTTTTTACTTTGTAAAATACAATAACATATTGGCTACCATATATTACATATGTATATATATATGTATAATGTTTTCAAACAAATACTGAAATGTCAGTTACTTTTCTTCAAACACAATAATTTTTGTAAACTTTATATATGCATTTTGGAATGCAAAAAATTATAAATTACTATACCAATACCCCAAAAATCCACTGTAATTTATCAGGCTTCTTAATTAAATTGTATTTGGATCTAAAAATATATAATTTCTACTCACAAAATAGCCTTGATAGCAATACTTCAAACTTTCCAATGATATAAAAGCATTTTTCTCATAAATAATTTAGGAAGACTGACAGAATTACATAACTTTATAAATATATAGCTTTTGATTGATTATAAAGTTATTGGTATATAAAAGTAGGCATAGATAAATAAGTCTTCTCAAATGATGAAGTGGTGGGCAGAGCCAATATGGTGGGTTCACTAAATATCTTGGTATCTCAGCAAATAGAAAAGGTAGGAGGTTCTTATTATATATTCTAGCTAGCCACTGTTGAACATTGGAATTTCTAATTCATACAAAACTATAGACATTATATTGTCAGCATCATAAAATGTAATCTGACCAAACCCACAAGGCCACGTGACACATAATAATCAATATCTAGCCTTTTGTTTTAATACTAAGTTCAAATTAAGAAACTAACTAATGTATAATACTCAAATTGTAGAATTATAATCTACAATTTGATACTAAACTTATTGATATATGTTTATAAAATAATAGCTAAATAAAATGTTGAATGTAAATCTACAAACGTGATGACATGCTTTCTGACCACTACCCATCTTGATATTACTGTAGTTGGAAGTTATATATTTGTCTAAATATGTATGTTGGTATCCAGTCTGTTTTTCATAATATCATGGTCACGTCAGGGTAGACATCAACTTAGTGTAACTAAGAGCCTAGGACTTAAGAGCAAGGAAAACCATGTTGAGTTAAAACATGTCTTGATATTTACAGACTATTACAGACACTCACTACAAGGTTGGTCAAAATGATCCACCCCATAAGCATTTTGTACTCTTGCATTTTACAGTGTAACATTAAATTTTAAGATTGAAAATCATGTAGGGATGATCTATGTATAGTTGTATCATCCCTATATTTTTGTTCGCATTATTTTGGGCACTGCCATCCCTACATCATTTTAAGCTTATAATATGTTTTTAATTACTTTTAAGTCTTGAAATCGGCAAAATTAGTTCCCACAAGCTTATTTTTGTGTATAGAAGCACATTACGCTGATGTAATGGTAAACTGACAAACAATGATTTATAAGCATAATGAACGGGTTTATTTTGAGAGGAACATACATGTTTTGACAGAACATTACTATGTCTGAAGTTCTTAGAATGTTATTTAATGTTAGTCAATGAACTGTGTCAAGGATTTTCAATACCGACATGGTTTAAAACTTCATAACATTAATACAAATATTAGTAATAACAGTTAAAAATGTCTGCAAAATGAAAATGTTCAAGCATTGACTCTTTTAACATGGGCTCAGTCCCTGAGACCGACCTTGTAACCATTTTGTGCTTGTTATAATTTTCATGCTATAACTTTTAAATTAGTATGCATCAAAAAATTTTCAAATTTCACATGCAAAATCTAATGTCCATATAATTATCAAATTCTTTTTAAAAAAACTTGAAATTGTATCTGTTATTTTCACTGACAAATCTCTGTATGGGTTCAGTCAATTTTACCTATCTTGTAACTACTTTAACAAATTAGGAAATAAATATAAATTATGCCCTTTTCATTCTAAAATGACTACAAATTATAACATGAAAACACAAATGTTCAGACTAAATAGCTTAAATCTCGTAAGATTATACATCTATAACTATTTATTACTTTTATTGTATTGACGTTTCAGCTAAGGCTGGCTAACAATACAGAAGTTACAATGATGTGGTGCATGTACACTCATGTTACCGTATCCAATAATATAAAACCAACCTTTACAAGGTAACCTGTCTTGGCTGTGTTTTAGTAGACTAATATTTTGTAAAATACAGTCACATTTCAACTATTATGCATTATATATGTAGATACATTATCACTATTTACAAATAAGTTTAAAACATAAGTTTTTTTAAAACATAGAATAATAAATAAAGAAGTAAATCAAACAGTTATCTCTTCTTTTTTATGACCTTTGTACTCATTTGCTGCTTGTTGTAGGTTGCTAAGCATGTGGAAAATGTGAAACAAAATAATTTTATTTAGGTTTTATATATAAATTTGAAATAACCAAAAAATCATAAATTACTATATTTATACCATAGAATTCCATTATAAGTTATCAAGCATAGTAATTAAGTTGTATTTGGATCTAAAAAAATATGAAAATTTCAAGTAGTCTAAAGACTCAACTTACCAGCTTGAAGTTTTGTACTGTATAACAAGATGACTTCCTAATACTTGAAAATGGCTGAGAAAACCACTAGGGGAACATTCTGAGCTTTTGATTGGTTATTCACATGTCATAGACAAAAGTAAATGTACATAAAGGAGTATTTCAAAAAATGGAAAGATGTGAGCAGGACCACTGTGTTTGATTCAGTACATGAGTAATGTCTCAGCAAATAGAAAACATAGGAGGTTCTTAGTTTATATTCTAGCTTGTCAATTTCGGTAATTTGAGTTCCTAATTCATATGAAACTATAGACTTTGTATTTTGACATCACAAACATCTAATTTGAACCAGTGCTGCATTGAACATACCACGTCATACATAAAAATCAATGTTTAGCTGTGTTTTTCTAATATTTACTTCCAAGTTAAGAAATTAAATAATGTATAATACTAACATTTGAATTATAGTCTGCAGTTTGATATCAAACTTATTGACATAAGTTCATAAAAATAGTAGTTCAAAAAAATTTTGAATGTGAGTCAACAAACGCAGTGACATGGCCTTTGACCCTTGTAGGGTTAATAGTTGAACAAGATTAATACATATATATACCACGCTGTCACTGATAAGACGATTTCCATCCTACACCATGGTATGCTGCAATACCATATCACGTGACATGAAAACTTGCGCCGTTTAATAAAGTAAAAATACCTCAATCAGGGAAATACAGACACACCACAATCAAGCTATCCTCCATTCTACATTATTCAGTATACTGCGTTGTTAGTTTTATCTCTTTTTTTTTTCGCTTATCTGATGTACATTGCAAATTGTTAAAAGTACATCTGAAGAGTCCAATTCGGGTTATTTTATAGTAATCACTATTTACATAACGTTAATGTATAATCATATATTATACAAACTATTGGTATTACTAAAGTTTAGGCCTATACACTTTTAATATCAATATTAGTAGGCCTAACAAATTCAGTTGTCTCAAACTGTAGAACAATGTACTATTTGTTTGGATTCTTATATTAATATAACATATTCCAAGTCTGTAAAAAAGCAGCAACTTACAAATTACAGTCTTGTATTTTGTAACACAAACAAAATATACAAATTACACTGGAAAGTTGAACACAGAACAGTATCACATGAATATGTACCGGATATATCATATACACGTGATAACATTCAGACTATGACATCCGGTTATATATATATATATACCTTTTCATTAAATAATAATAAAATCTATGGATTGAAAATAATAATTAGTAATTAACACCAATAATTTTGTATGAATACTATGATACATATTTCAAAGAAATATTCAATAAAAAAATACAACCCATATCCAGTGGCGTAACTACAAAAGATGTCCCCCTCCCGCGTAAAAAAATAATTGGCTGATTCTTACGATTCTGACTGATGGAGATCATATTAACTTAACACAATAGTGCAACGGCTCTTTAGTTCAAACAACTTAAATTGAGCGTTTCTCCCCCCCCCCCCCTGTCTGCAATTCTTTAGCTTGTCAGGCCCTTCGGGCACCCCCTGCAATTGTGGGAGCATACTTACGCCACTGTACACATTATAACTAATGCTTCGTTTTATAGGATTGGTAAATATCCCATAAATTCTTCCTACATTTCTAAATATCTTGCTATGACAAGTTTAGTATTATTGGCTACTAAGATTGTCCTCCAGTGGTACAGGGTAAGTTTACGAACTTACAACACTAAAATCCGAGTTTCGATTCCCCACGGTGGACACAGAAGATAGCTCAACGCGGTTTTGCTTTAAAACAGTCTGCCAAAACATTATTAATAAATATCTCAGCAGATTCTCGGCGTTTCAATAACAACACATGGTGATCAAATACCTTTTAAATATATACAGTTTTATAGTGTTGTAACGTTCTAATTTCGTTGGCTGGTTCTTTCAAACTTTCTGATGCAAATAATTCAGCATCTAGTCCACGTAACAATAACATATTGATTTTATTTCCTCCTTAACGTTTCTTTACAGGCTAGTACAGTTTGTAACTTTTGCCCCAGTAGCACAGCGGTATGTCTGAGGACTTACAACACTAGAAACCGGGTTTCGATACCCGTGATGGGCAGAGTACAGATAGCCCTTGTGTAGCTTTGTGCATAATTAAAAACAAACAAATTGTAATTTTTTGTCGGTCTACGTTTACAATCATACTATCTGCACTACATTAATGTAAAAATCTACTTACTTGCACAAAATTATTAAATATGCCCAGTAACTAACACAGATACAAAAAGGTAAACACACTGAATGATTTACTTTACCCACTAGAAAATTATTTTCTAACTTCTTGATGCTTCACTGTCTCACAGCAAGCTTACTAAATTTATTTTTTT